TTAATCCATATATTAATAAAACACACAGGTCTGCAACCTTCAACTGGGTGAAATGTTGCAGCATAGAACAAAACATTTTCAACCAAGGTATCTCAAATCAGCTAACTTACAAAATGCCAGGACCTCTTTCTCCCAAGGCAGTGACATTTGGGAGAATTGTGGCTGCTTCAGCACTGCCAGGTTGCTGCACTGCTCTAGCTACATGACCCTCATTTTCAGCATTACCAAACATTTCCCTGGCCACTAGCTCAATCCCTTGTTCCTCCCCCCACCCCCAAGCAGCAGACCTTAAACTGCAGGAAGCAAGATACCTTGGCATTTCTTTCCTGCAGTGAATTGAACATATTCTAGAAAGTATGTTGTCTGATACCACTCCCTTCTTATGTAAACTTCGTAAAAGGAAAGTCATTAATAATCTACAGGAGGAAAATAAATAGGACTCTCATAGCACCTTTTTCAACAAATGAATTTTATTATAAGGCATAAGAGCTTGTGAGCTAGAGCTCACTTTATCAGATACATCTGACTTTTTTGCCTTCTACATAACAAAAATCCTAGTGACAATGCCTTGGGTGAACTGATTGAGTTTCCAGCCATGCCTGACTTTTCTTGTCCTTTAAAAATAAGGTGGTTTCATACATGTCATTTTCTTCAGCTGAACATTAGATGGCACCACACACCGAACAGAGACTGCAAAAATTCAGCTAAGTTTCTACAGATTTCATAATTTTTTATTCTTATTGCCCACTCTCCCCAGAAAAAAGGGCTAGATGTCTTTCTTTTCCTGTAATGTTGAATGACCTGTAATTTTACGTCTATCAGTTACCAATGAAATAGAATTGTTGCTTTAACAAAAACTTGTTTTGTCAGTAATCACTTCATTTTTGGGAGGAGAGTTTTTCTCTCCAACTCTTCACTATCTCCTGATTCTAAATCCCAAATGCCAGGAATATTACTGTAAGAAGTTTTTCATTTTTAGTATACTAATGGTATACTACTACTACTATACTACTATAATTTTCAAACTGAGCTCTCATTATAATATACTGGTGGGAGGAACCTGAACTAGTTAGATTTTTTCTGAATTCCAGAGGTCAACTTTTTTTTTTTATTCTCCAAGAATGCCCTATTATCATACTTCTTTTCTCACACTGAAATCCTGGCTGCCTTTCCCCCATTTGCCATCCCTGCTATTTGCTAGGTTCCAGAAAATCTGGTCTTGGGCAGCCAGAATGACCTGGGTTGCTCTGTTTGATTGCATTGACCATAATTTGTGAAAATCCATAGTCTAATTATACCTCCTGCCACTGCCTACTTTTCTAGTAGGGTCCCATTTTTTGAGGGATGAGGACCATGAAGGGGGAACTGGTATGAAAATTATAAAATTATAACAAGGCAGCAGGAATGAAGGAACACATTCCAGAAAGGGGGGTGGTAAGGGAAGAAGCAACACAGACCAGAGACTGATAGGAAACAGAAAGAGAATTCAGATAGTCCCTGAAATCCCCCAGGATAAATCCATTAGGCTGAGGTGGTAATGGTTTGTTCTGGTTAGAATCTTATATGTGAGCAAATAAAGTATTGAACTCGGGTTGAATGTTCTTGGGCTTAGCCTGATACATTTGCCATCTCAATGCAGTTAGCATCTTACACACGTGGGTTACCCCAAACCAGTAATCACAACTATTGATAGAAAATGCAGATAGAATTTATGATATGATGATGAAGGAAAAGCAAGTATTGTAAAACTGCTGGACAGGTACTTTCCTTTTTATAACATGAAATAAAATTTTCAAAACCCTGATGGCTAGGGCCATTTTAATCTTTCTCACATTGCTTTCTCTGCAGTTTCCATTTCACAGACATCATTTCAGCCAAAAGGATCTCCAAATTGATGCTCCTCCATTTTCCAAAATCATCTCTATTAAACAGTTGATAGACAAGCTGGGGTGGAAAACATATAATGGATTCATACAACAATCTAGACTACTAGCAAACTATGACTTTTTCAAGAATCTAAATATTTTGTAAATATGGGCCTGAAGACACAAACTCAAACCCACTCCATGGTACCACTCTTAGGGACAACCTGCAAACATGTTCATCCATACTCCAACTCACAAAATCCAGTGATCATATTGTAATAGCTCATTTTTATTTCAGGATCTCTCCATCCACACAAATATACTCAAACTATATTCAAAATATACATCATACTAGCTAGATTATAACATTTGCATTGCCACTTAGGTCTGTGCTGGTATTTAGATAAATAACTTTTATTACAGTCACAGACCAGCATTAAAAATAATAGGAAAAAATTGTGGTGGCCAAGCGTTCATAGCGACGTCACTTTTTGATCCTTCGATGTTGGCTCTTCCTATCATTGTGAAGCGTTCACCAATTCACCAAGCGTTGGATTGTTCACCCACTAATAGGGAACGTGAGCTGGGTTTAGACTGTCGTGAGACAAGTTAGTTTTACTGATGATGTGTTGTTGCGCTAGTAATCCTGCTCAGTATGAGGAACCGCAGGTTCAGACCTTTGGTGTACGCGCTTGGCTGAAGATTCTGGGTTGGGGTTTCGTGTGTAGCAAAGCAGCTCCCTTGCTGCAATTTATTGAAAGTCAGCCCTTGACACAAGCTTTTGTAAAATAAAGAAAATTAAAATAATAAGAATAAGAATAAGAAAAAAGGCAATATATTACAATTAGCGGTGGATTATCAGTGGGCAGCCAGCATATGCCTAATTTTGCAGGCAGTATAACAAAATGTAGCCACATTCAGAGAAACTACCTTGAAGTGATCTGAAAACATCAATTGTACATTAAAAAATCAGTACTCCCCAGCTATTTTATCAGGTAAGGTGTTATAAAATGGGTCCATGAGTTCTTATAAGAGATACAGTATAGTATGACATGATGAGCTGTAGTTTTGATAGCTCCTTGTCTACAGGGACACAATTTCAGCTCATAGAATTTTTTTTATCAGCCCTCTAAAGCTGCTGTGGAAAATGCATTGCAGCATGTTAAAAATGCACTTTGGAGTTTGGGGACAGTTATACAATATAAATACCTCACTGCTTTAAAAGGAGGGATTTGACTGCACAAAAAAAGTTCTTAAGAAAAGCAGACTGATCTTGTTGGATTTCCAGGTCTTTGATATGTTATTTACCGTATTTTTCGGAGTATAAGACGCACCGGAGTATAAGACGCACATACCTTTTTTGTTTTGTTTTTTTTATAAAAAGTTTTTTTTTATTTTTTAGACAAACACACATACAAACATAACAATGTATTTTCTTTGAACAGAATATTTGGCCGGTTCACAAATTTAAACAGTGTTTAGTCATTTCAATTAAATTTACAATTTCTATATTTCCTTTTTGCCATATTTATTTCTCATCTATTTTTTAAAAAAACCAATATTACCCTTCATCCTCATCTCTAATCTTAATCAAATTCAATTTTTCCCTTCTGTTCTATATTATACCCCTTCTCATTGTCATCTATTTTTATATCCATCCTCACATTGGTTAATTATGTAATATTACAATTGTTTAAAACTTGTGCTAATTAAGCTGTGCTGAAGCTGAAAGGAGCTGTTTTTTCTTGCTATTTGCTTGCAAGGAGATAACTGCTGCGAGGCACAGGCTAAAGGGTGGGGGCCAGTGGGTGGGCGGGGCTACATTCGGTGTATAAGACACATCTAAATTTTCACCCCCTTTTAGGGGGGAAAAAGGTGCATCTTATACTCTGAAAAATACGGTAAATGTATTAAGTCAGGGGTGGGCAACTGTGGCCCTTTTACAACCTGTGACTTCAACTCCCAGAATTCCTGAATTCTGGGAGTTGAAGTCCACAGGTTGTAAAAGGGCCAAAATTGCCCACCCCTGTATTAAGTGAACATTTGTACTCCATCATTAAGAGTGCTTCTCTGGAGAAGCAGAGATATTGAAGTTTTTGTGAAATGATCCTAAACCATACTGATGGGGAATTGTCCTCTATAAAGAACGAACTCAAATCTCTGGGCAATAAGAATAATTTTTAACCAATATGTTACAAGTCCAGGCACCTGTTTTAACTTTAGATAAACTGCCTTCTTTCTTAGTAGTACATTTGGGACACAATGGGCTACCTGAAATATAGCTCTTATGAATTTGGACTGCACCCTTTCCAGAGGAGTTAAGGAGGAGTAAGGTCCCAACTGAACACCAGAGAATAGTTGTTAGCAAGCTTTAGCTGAATATAACTTCAGTGCTGCTGGAATATACTATGCTCCTCTGGAGAAATAAGATTGAATTGCTGCCACTGTTTTTTTTGTTTTGTTTTGTTTTGTTTTAGCATTTTGAATGACATAGTTTGGATGTGCACTGCATTTAGTAGAAGAGACTGGCCAGTCACTTGTCTGAAATGATATAGGATCTCCTGCTTGAGCAGGGGGCTGGACTAGAAGACCTCCAAGGTCCCTTCCAGCTCTATTCTGATTGTAATTGACGATAGTAGAGCTGTGAAAAACTATGCCCGAATATTTAAAAGACTGAATATGCTCAAATGTTCTGGCTGTTCATCTTCCAGGCATGCAATTTAAGCCTTTTTGCAAATATCATGATCTTAGTTTTACTTTAGTTGATTTCAAAAGTTTCTTCAGATCAGTAACTAGCCAGAGCGTTCAGGGCTTCCCGAAGTCCAATATATGCACTTGTATATCATCTGCATACAACAAGGATGCAAATATGTGTATTAGCTAATTTTGGAGGATGGTGCGTTCTTCCTGATCCGGAAGGCGAATGAGAAGTTAGGTGTATTGTGTAAGCCTAACTTGTTATCAGTTTGTGGAATATAAAACTTAGAAAATTAATTCGGTGTCTCTATTAAACCTGCTGTGGGAACAGATTCCTTACAAATCTTATTCCTTTCCAAGGGAATACTGCTTTGCTCCTCCCTCTGCGTTTTGTCACCCTAGCAACCGACCTCTGACCCCGCCATGCAGTCACGTGGATCGTGCAATGGCGGCTTCCTGGGCTGCTGGTGGCGGCGTGAGTGTGACCCTGGGCTGGGGGTGGCGTCGCCTCCAGTTGCTCCTGGGAACTGCCGGGCGATTTCAGTTTAGGGGCTTTCGTACTACAGGTGGGATGGCGGCTGCCACTGGGAGCATTTTTCTCTGGCCTTAAAGAGGAGAGGAGGGAGGGAAGAGGTTTCTCCGCCAGGCGTTCCTTTTCTCCTTGTTTTGTGTTTTGTGAAGATTCGGTCACCCACCGAATCGAGGAGAGGACCGCGATAATCCTTTCCTTTCCCCCGCCGCAGCCTTCCCTTCCAAGGGTTTATGTCTCCATTTGACTGTGATTTTGCTTTACCTTTTCTTCCGTTCGAGAATGTAGTCAACTGTTAATCTGTATCATTTCTACTCTCCTCCCTCCCCCCCACGATTCCCTTTATTGCTTCCGAGATAACCTGCACCTGTTATTATTCTCCCTCTTTGTTCGTACTGCGATTCTGTGGGGTACTTTAGGATAAAAAAAAAAATACAGTAGTTCAAGGTCATCAATAAGTCTCCTTAGCCCTTTTGAGATTTTGAGTGTGAGTCTCCTTCTCCAATATACTCAATCCAATCATCAAATATACTCAATGTATTCTCCAAAGCACCCAAAAGCGTGACAAGAAGTAATGGGTGGAAGATTATTAAAGAGAGATTCAATCTAGAACTAAACAAGAAATTTCCTGACAGAACAATTCATCAGTGGAATAGCTTGCCTCCGGAAGTTGTGGGTGCTCTATTAATGTAGGTTTTCAAGAAAAGATTGGGCAGTCATTTGGCTGGAATCATATAGGGTCTCCTACTTGAGCAGGGGATTGGACTAGAAGACATCCAAGATCCTTTCCAAATCCTATTGTATGTTCTTTACAGATTATATCAGAGTTTAAGTACATTGGAGACTTACAAATACATTGTTGAAATATTTGAGTGGTCAGATAAGAAAAATGTAGGAAAGTTATGTTTGCATAACACACTGAACTATAATAAATCTCATTTTATCCTAGCATACTATGAGAACCCAGTTTATGATGCTGTAGTTTTATTTCAGGGAGTTAAAGGGGAAAGCCTTTTAAGGAGGGTATGTGTGTCATGCAAACACAGTCACTATTACTTTTGGTGCTAGATGAGGACATCTCCCAATCATTTAACTTAACATACACTATCTGGATCCTGCATGTTGCTCCTAGGAATTTGTTCTGCTTCTTCATTTCCAAGTTGTCTGTTTTTTACAGAGTAGTAGGCCAGTTGTTTGTATTCTTTCTGGTTTATAGAAGTATTTCTTAGTATTTGTTGAATCCATTTTTACTGTCATTTTATCATACTGGACTGTTAGTTGTGAAGATGAATATTTCTGAAAACTGGTTTATTGAAGAGACTGTGATAATACAGATTTAGTACTAAAAATGAAATAGTGAACTGTCTTCAGTGACGGACTTCAGTTGTTCCTTGCTAAAAAGCACAATAATCTCACATGAACAACCCTAAAACCAAAGTTCAAATGCAGTGATGATTGTCTAAAAAGGAGATTTCATTAGACTGGAGATCTATTTGTCCTATCCCTTTCTGTATTTTATGTTGCAAAATTGAAACACTATTTTATGCCATGGGATACACAAAATAATGCAAATAATAAACACCATATCTGTTTCTGATAAAGCCTTAATACTTGACTTAGAAGGTTATGATAAAGAGATGGATCTAGCATGTAATATCAAAATCTGGCTGCAAAATTCCTGAAAGGATTTGTATTTTCCTAATTAATAATGGCATTTTGTTATTGCTTTTCCAGTGGCTTTTCAAACTGAAGATAAGAGCTGCACAGCAGAAGTGTGAGTATTAGGATGTGGACACATGAAACTAGAAGAAGTGATTCAACTGAAGCAGGCACATTTTGTTGCTGCTCCAATTTCTTGACATTTTGCTTGGTATTAAAAGACACAAGTAACTTCAAATAGCTTTCCCTTCTGGGTCTGGGTGATATAGAAACTAAGTTCACTAACTAAAATATTCTGTAGTAGAATATTTTAGGGGTATATTTGGAATAGAGACCAGAACACATTATATTGAAGCATAAATTGGATTAATGACAACAGTGGCAGCAAAAATAGGCTTGAGGATTACAGTCCCTCATTATTGACTTATACAAATGAAAATATACAGATGTGATTGAATATTGTAATTAGGTATAACATTGTATAATATCTAGGTTTAATACATTAGTATAACACATGTGCCTAGTTAAATCAATGAGGCCATTGAAGTATAACTTTACACTTAGGTAATGAGTCAAGACTACATTTTGGGTTTTGAATGAACAAAGGCATTCTATGAACATAGTTTCTTTCTAGGGAGTTATTTTTGATTGCTTTCCCAGAGCTCTGCTTGCCTCCAAATATCTTCATAAATTAATGTCCTTTGAATGTTCTGAGGTTAAGCTGGCAGTGCAGTTTTTCTTCAAAAAGCATTTTTGCAGTGAGATAGTTGCCCAATTTGACTCTACAGCTAAGCCTGTCCTTTGTTTTCTCTAGGAAGATTTATTTGAATTAGGGGCTTTAAGTTGGCCCTATAAAATTGCATACTAACCTAAATCAGCCTAGGATAAAAAATTTGGTTTAAGTATTTGCCTTAATCATAGATTGATCCAAGATAGTGGTTCATGCTAGAGCTAAAAGTAATCGGTTTTAGCATGTTACTCAAAGCACTTTTATCATTTGTGTCTTTTATTTCAGATTAAAAATCTATATCCGTTATTAGATCAACCTTCCGCATGTCTTCTCCCTATGTGTTAGGACAGTAGCACTCAAAATTCTCATCCAGCGTAAAGTGAACAAGGATAGGCAATTCTACATAAAAACAGAAATTGCCAGAAAACATTGAGTAGCATTTGAGCATATGATATATACTGGATGGCCCTGAACTGAGAGCATTTCCATATTGTTTCTTCTGTCTCAGAGTCAATGTAGTGTTCATAGATCGTTGTGGGCAAAAAATCCCAGTGCAAGGCAAAGTTGGGGATGATGTGCTGCGCTTGGCTCAGAGAAATGGCATTGAACTAGAAGGTATGTCATGAATATCTGTATAATGCTCTCCTGGGTTGGAGCAAAGATCAATTTAGGCCAGCATCCTCTTTCCAACATTGGGTCACCTGCTCTGGGAAACCCACACAAGCAGGATATGAATACAATTATTTATTTGATTTATACATCTGCCCATCTCATAAGTGACTGGGTGGTTTACATTAATATAAATAAACCAAATAAAATATACAATATAAAGTAAAAAACACAAAGCTGAGCAGTATAAAATAACCATTAACAAAGTGAAGAGATCTGTTCTGGGGCCCTAGGCAACCATGTCTTTAGGGCAGGGGTCTCTAACCTTGGTAACTTTAAGACTTGTGGACTTCAACGCCCAGAATTTAGAGTATTGCAGTAGCTCTGCCTCATAGGTTTTTGCACTTAGTATTGAAGGTTCTACAATTACAACCTTATAGCAGCATAGAAGCAATCTTTCTAAATAACAGTCAGTTTCAAAAAAAATTAAAAATTAAAGCTGTCCTATCACAGGTTGTAACTTTAAAAGATCTCTTATAGAAAAATATGTTAAACTCTGCAGCAAAAAGGTTCCCGCTTGTATAAACATACAATTACTGGTTTTGTACAGAGACTATGAAAATTTAAGTAGCAATACCACCCCTTTCCCCCCTCCCCCACATTCCTAATTTTCTGGTAGATTTGTTTACCTGTTCCAAGGTGCCTTCAGCCTGCCAGTAGGATTTGTCCAGTTTTTTAATAGATTCCAACATTTAATCATGGCCCAGAGACAATGCTGCTTCTTTATGTAATCTAGCACTAGTTTGCTTGTTTTATTAGATTAGTAACTAACTTTTATCTTTATTTATTTAAAAAAAACAAAACCTTTTTCCTCTCCAGGAAGAAAAAGGTTAGGAAGATCTGCCTGTTGTATATGCCGGGGGGAGGGGGGGATTTTCTTTGAATGACACAGATTTAAATCCAGACAATGGTTTTCTGTTATGCTGCTGCTTGGCAGAAGAATCATTTGAGATCAGGGAAGCTGGACTGAATCAATCTTTCTTTTACTTTCCTAGGTGCTTGTGAAGCTTCCTTAGCTTGCTCTACCTGTCATGTTTATGTAAGCCATGATTTTCTGGATAAGCTTCCCACGCCTGATGAACGGTAAGGGTTACTTTGGCTTTCTTCTTATAGAGGCTGTGGCTGATCTTTAGACGAGGGGTGTCAAACTTGATTTCATTGAGGGCTGCATCGGGGTTGTGTTTGACCTCGGGAGGCTGGGGTGGGTCTGGACAAAGTAGGCGTGGCCAGCTTGACGTCACTCGTGTCAGGGGTGCCTGTGGTGGCCCGACCACTCTGCCAGTGAAAATGGGCTCCCGAGTTTCATTTTCAGCTGCGACGGCCTCCTGCAATCCTCTGCCAATGAAAGCAGAGCTTGGGAGGCCGCGTGTGGCCCTCGCGACCTCCATTTTCAGCTGGGATGGCCTCATGAAAATCTCTGCCAGCAGAGAGGCATAGTGGGCTGGTCCTTTGCTGTTTCCAGAGTGGCCCTATGGGCCAGATCTAAGCACCCTGTGGGCCAGATCCGGCCCACGGGCCTTGAGTTTGACACCCCTGTTTTAGACTATCACTAGGCTAACATTTCCTGATTTTGGCTTTATACTGATGCTTTTCTCAAGCCCTTTGGAGCAAAATTGCTGAGCACATTGTAAGCCGCCCTGAGTCTCCGGAGAAGGGCGGCATATAAATCAAACTAAAAAAAAATAATGACTGGGTCTTTGGGGATGAATAATTTGGGAGGAGGTATCCCACTGTAAAGAGGCATCCTTTGTTTTTACTTTGGAAAGACCTCCTGATACTTCTGTAGTTTTTCTGTTTGCTTCTGACTTGGATAATAGTAAAAGCCATCACTAAAAGTTAAGCAATATCCCAGTGGGTGGTGGAGGGAGTACTTACTGTATATACTAATAGCACTACACCTATGTAGTGTAAATAGCAAGGAAGGGTTTGTTCTTTTTCTTAAGGTTGCTTTTTACCTGTAACAAAAGACAATTTGAATATTTAAGTGCATAACCCTCATTCAAGACTGAAAAATCAGCTGCACTAATAATTTCCAGTACATGTTGAAGCTTTGCCAAGAGTAATCCCCCTAGACTGTTTGTGTGCTGAGTCAATTTGGTATTATAACATATACAATGCATTTAGAAAGTATTCAGACCCCCTTTACTTTTGTCAATTTTATTGTGCTGCAGCCTGATTCTACAGTTGTTGAAATTCATTTTTTTCCTCAATCTACACTCAGTATGCCATAATGACAAAGTGAAAACAGAAGTTTAAAAATAAAAACTGAAATATCACATTGGTGTAAGTATTCTGACCCTTTGCAACAACACTTGAAATTTAGCGCAGGCGCCTCCCACTTTTCTTGATTGTTGCTGACATGTTTCTACACCTTGAATGGAGTCGACCTGTGGTAAATTAAATCGATTGGACATGATTTGAAAAGGCACAGACCTCTCTCTAGAAGGCCTCACAGCTGACCATGCATACTGTAGCGGAGCCAAAGCCATGAGGTCAAGGGAACTGCCTTAAGAGCTCAGTGACAGGATTACTGCAAGGCACAGATCTGGGGAAGGCTACAATAAAATTTCTGCTGCACTGAAGTTTCCTAAAAGTGCAGTGAAAGAAGTTTGGCACAACCAGGACTCTTCCAAGAGCTGGTGGCCCAGTCAAACTGAGCAATTGGGGGAGAAGGGCCTTAATAAGAGAGGTGACCAAGACCCCGATGGTCACTCTGACTGAGCTCCAGAGATCCTATGTGGAGATGGGACAGTTCCAGAAGAACAACCATCACTGCAGCCCTCCACAGATTTGGGCTTTATGGCAGAGTAGCTAGACAGAAGCCTCTCAGTGCAAAACACATGAAAGCCTGCTTGGAGTTCGCAAAAAAAGCACCTGAAGGACTCCCAGACTGTGAGAAACAAGATTCTCTGATCTGATGAAACCAAGATTGAACTGTTTGGCCTCAATTCTTAACGTTATGTCTGGAGGAAGCCAGGCACCGCTCATCACCTGCCCAGTATCATTCCAACAGTGAAGGATGGTGGTGGCAGCATCATGGTGGTGTTTTTCAGCAGTAGGGACTGGGAGACAGGTCAGAGTTGAGGGAAAGCTGAATGGAGCAAAGTACAGGGATATCCTCAATGAAAACCTGTTCCATAGCGCTCAGGATCTCAGACTGGGCTGAAGGTTCACTTTCCAACATGACAATCATCCTAAGCACACAGCCAAGACAACACAGGAGTGGCTTAGGGACTCTGTGAATGTCTTAGAGTGGCCCAGCCAGAGCTCTGACCTAAACTCTATTGAACATCTCTGGAGGGACCTGAACATGGCTGTCCACTGTCACCATCCAATTTTACTGAACTTGAGAGGATTTGCAAGGAAGACTGGCAGAAAATCCCCCAATCCAGTTGTATGAAGCTTGTTGCGTCATCCCCAAAAGACAAGACTGTAATTGTTGCCAAAGGTGCTTCAACAAAGTACTGAGTGAAGGGTCTGAATACTTATGTCAATGTGATATTTCAGTTTTTTTCTTTTTAATAAATTTACAGACATTTCTAAAATTCTGTTTTAACTTTGTCAGTATGGGGTACCGAGTATAGATTGAGGGGGAAAAAAAGAATTTCAACAACTGTAGAATCAGGCAGCAGCATAACATAATTGACAAAAGTGAAGGGGATCTGAATACTTTCTGAATGCGCTGTATATCTCTATTGTGTGGAGATATTATGATAGAGGTTGAGCAGGTGGAGCTCCAGATACAGGAGAGAGCACACATTGCTTGATTGCCAATTATATACATCTCAGCATAGGCCTGATATTTAGATCCTTGATTTGATAGAACAGTCTATTGAGACCTCACAACAGCTTGTCATATTTCCTTCTGGGCACTAATACATACGTGACCGGCAGAAATGCTAAATTTATAGTCAACGCTGTTTAGCTGAAAACCTGAGCAGTTACATAGCATGGGGAAATGCAGCATGATATACAAATTTGAATATACTTTGTTTTGTATTTTGGTATATTTATATTTATCTTTTGTTTGGTTGATCCAGTGTGGTGCTTTGATAAGGTCAATTGAGTGATCAATAAATTAGCTAACACATAGTTCACAGATAATGTTAGAAAAGCATTTGAGTAACAGGTAACAATTGAGAGTTAGAATCTCAAAAATCTCCAAAAGTTTCTGCATATACTAAAAAAAAGTTTGTTGTATAAGGAAGTTTTTAAAAAAACAATTACAAAAGACAAAAAGCATTTGTAAAGTCTATAGTGCTGCATGAATTGGAATAAGTATTTAAAACCTGTATATATTTATACAGAGAAAGTCAGTTTGGTGTAGTGGCTAAGACACCAGACTAGAAATTGGGAGATCATGAGTTCTAGTCTCAATTCAGCCACAAGCCAGCCTCTCTCAGCCCTAGGAAACAGTTAATGACAAACCATTTCTGAAATCTTGACAAGACATGCTTTTATGTTATTCTTATTTAGATCTTTTCTTTTTCATCTTTCTTTTTCAGGTTTTAAAGTAGTTATCTGCCATGAATGTTGTAAGTGCAAAGCCAGGATATTAATTGGTATTATAAATAACTCCTGACATTCTTCTCCACTTAGGGAGGAGGATATGTTGGATATGGCACCGCTGCTTCAGGAGAACTCTCGACTGGGCTGTCAAATTGTCCTTAGCAAAGAACTGGAAGGAGCAGCGTTCACCCTTCCCAAAATCACCAGGAACTTTTATGTGGATGGGCATGTCCCCAAACCTCATTGAGAACTTCAGACTCCATGGCTGGATGTGTCTCCATTGTTAAGATGACAAAGGCTACAGAGAGCACAGTGGGATTGTGGCCAAAGAAAGAAAAAGGAGGAAATGGCTCAAAGACTAAGAAGATGGGGCTATGGAAGGAACTGAGCAAAATGAGTGAGACTCAAACATTTGGCAACTATCTCATCTGCTTATACCTCCTTCAGAAATCCAAAGATGGATTAATCTTAGCCTCATCCATGGCACAGAGGGGCGCTGGGAGAAGGGTAGTTCCATACCTAACAGTTCTATCCTCACATCCTGGAGAAAACCAAAACATTTCATGGAGAGGCAAGATGTTCCTATGCAGTAGCCACTGTGTTTTAGCAGAGGAATACAAAGTTTTATGTATTGTTAATTGCATGAAGAAGGGAAAAATATAATTCCCATAAACACATTCTCTATACACTTTACAGTGTATTCGTTTTCTCTTGTTTTTCCAGCACTGTTTGGATCTATACTGGCACTTCTTGTCTGCGTTTAACCATCAAACAGTATATTGGATATTTGGTTATCTGTAGAATCAAAAAAACAAAACAAAAAAATGGCTTCTTCCATTAAAGATGAGGCTTCTGCTAATGTTTTTGAATTCATTCTCCATATACATGAACAGATATATTTGGAATGATGTGTGAATGTGGGGCAGGGGCTGGGCAGCACTTTAGATTCAGCCTTCCAAAGTGGTTTGAAGAGTTCAGGAGCACAACTCTAACATCTATCTGCAATATCTTAAATGGTTACATCTTTTGTTCTTGTAATTGCACAACCACTTAGAAGTGTTATAGAAACAGCCCTGAAGCAGATTTTTGGACACTTCTTCAATACCAAAGTTCAAAAGACTCAATATTCTTTCTATCCTACTTCTTCAGAGCTCAACTTTCGCTTCCCATAGACTTTCACAGACAATTCTTTTACTTGCTATTCTGAGCTTTTTAGGTATAGACACATCACAGGATCTGAATAGCTTTTCCAAAGCCGCCTCTGTAAAAGTTAGTCTGCAGCTTGTTCCTTTATTGTTGATGGTTGATTGTAGAAGCTCTCTACCACTTCAGTATCTTCACTGTCAGTTATAAGGCTGGCTGTTGTACCTATTGCCATTAGTATATTTAATTTTAGAACCATTTTTTTTTACTATGCTTCGTGACTTTTATTATTAGGGCTGGTGGATCCTTTGCATTTTCAGCTATCAGAGTAGTGTCATCTGCATACAGGACATGCAGCATGCTATTCTGTTTTTAGAGGGGAAAAAACATGTTTTCAGAAAAATAATGGTTTTTGTATGTAGATGATGTTATTATTGTCTAGATACTTTCAATGCAGTGAAAATAGTTTCCCCCTACAACCACTAGATTGTCTCAGCATTAGTTTAAATGATGGATTTGCTTTTATTTATTTAAGAAGAAGTTGGGAGAAGCTTAATCTGTTATTCAGATGAGTTTTATACTGTTAAATTGGTTTGAGCAACTTGTGGTCCTCCAAAGCTTGATTACTACACCCATAATCTTTGAACAGTACCAATGCTGATTGGTTGTGACTAAACAAACAGGATATATGTTTCCCAATCTTACTACAGGTATTCCTCGACTTGCAACACTTCATTTAGTGGCCAAAGTTACAAAAGCACTGAAAAAAAGTGTCTTATGACTTTTTCACATGACCATTGCAGCATCCCCATGGTCACATAATCAGAATTCAAATGCTTGGAACTGACTTGGGACATTGCAGTGTCCTGAGGTCATGTGAATACCTTTGCGACTTTCTGAAAAGCAGAGTCAATGGGCAAGCCAGGTTCACTTAACTAGTTACTAAGTTAACTAGTGCAGTGATTGATTTAACAACTATGACACAAAAGGACATAAAATGGGGCAAAATTCACTTAGCAAATGTCTCACTTAGCATCAAAAATTTTCAGGACTATGGTTGAGGACTATAGCTCTTTCTGATACATTGTAACTTTTTCAGCAAAACCATTTTTTCCCATTCTATGCGCCATCTATGAACCTTCTTAGATCATCATACAGGTAGTCCTCAACTTATAACCACAATTGAGCCCAAAATTTAAGTTGCTAAATGAGAAATTGGTTAAGTGATTTTACAACTTTTTTCTCCACTTAATTTTTATTAAGTGAATCACTGCAGTTCTTAAGTTAGTAACACGGTTGTTAAATGAATCTGGTTTCCCCGTTCACTTTGCTTGTCAGAAGGTTACAAAAGGGAATCACATGACTCTGGATCACTGCAGCTGTTATAGTATCCAAATATAAATCACATGACCATGGGGATGCTGCAATGGTCATAAGTATGAAAAATGGTCACAAGTCGCTTTTTTCAGTGCCGTTGTAATTTTGGTCACTAAGTGAACTGTTATAAGTCTAGGACTACCTGTATTTAGATCTCTCTTTGATGCAACTAAAAAGTTCATAAGTATCTAGAAAAAGGCAAATATGTATACAATATGAAGAGTATACAGTGATGCTTGAAAGCTTGTGACCTTTTGAATTTTCAGTATTTTCACGTAAATGTGATCTAAAATGTGATCTCTTTACAGAAGTCCTAAAAATACATAAAAAGAACCTAATTAAACAAATGAATCAAATCATTATACTTAGCCATTGTGGAAAATTATCCACACACATTTGTATTACTGTATTTTGGGGTGATTGTCTTATTGCATGACTCACTTTCTCTTGAGCTTCAGTTTATAGACGGGTATCCTGACATGTTTCTGTAGAATTTGCTGATATAAATCAGAATATGTAGTTCCATCAGTGATGACAAGCTGTCTTGGTCCAGAGGGAGCAATGCAAACTCAAACCATGGTATTGGTTTCACAAGTGGGACAAAGTTCTTAGACTGGAACACAGCATTTATCCTTTGGTCTCATCTATCTAGAGAGCATATCTCAATAGATTTTCAACTTATGTGCATGGCCTTTCCCAAACTTTAAATAGGCAGCAATCTTTTTCGTTGCAACTCTGCTATATACACTATTGTTGTTCAGTGTTCTCCTAATGATAGTTTTATGAACACTGATACTTGCCAATGCAAGAGTGGCCTTTAGTTCTTAGGATTTTTTGAGTTCCTGAATTCCTTGAGATCTCCCAGAGTATTACACATCTTGCTTTTGGTGTGATCTTGATTGATTAACCACTCCTAGGGAGGTTAACAGCAGCACTGAATTGCCTCCATCTGTAACTAATCTGCCTGACAGTGGAGTGGTAGAATCCAAGATCTTTGGAAATTCTTTTGTAATCTTTTCCAAAATGGTGAGCATCTCTTCCATGGTGAGATCTCTTTTTAGAGATCTTCAGAAATCTTCATTTGAGCCATGACATATTTCCATCTACCTGTATAGTGAAGATTAAACTTTGCTAGTGAAGACCCACAATTCTCTTTAAATAAGGGAGGACTTCTCACAGTCACACCCAATTATCCCTTTAATTGAAACACCTGGCTCCAATTTCCACTTATGTAGCTTTGAATTATTTTCCTCAATAAATCAAGGAACAAGTATGTGTTTGGTTCATTTAACTGGGTTCCCTTTACAAATATTTTCAACTTACAACTACAATTGGGATCAGAATTTGGGTAAGATTAATTACATCAAATTTTATTACTTTTGCCACAATTGTTAAGTAAATCCAGCTCCCCCCCCCACTTGATTTTGTCAGAAGCCAGCTGGGAAAATCACAAATGGTGATCATGTGATCTTGGGGCACTGCAGCCATCATAAATCGGCTTGGGATCAGAAGTTGTGGGTGCTTCACCACTGGAGGTTTTAAAGAGACTGAACAGTCACTTGTCTGAAATGGTATAGGTTCTGCTGCTTGGATGAAGGGAGGGTGTTGTATGGTTGTAAATTGTGGACTACCTGTATCTAGTTTTAAGACTTTATGAAGAACAGGCCATGACTTAGGTCATATTGTTGAATATTTCATATTCAATAATAGAAATCTTGAAAATTCAAAAGCCTTCACAAACTTGGCTGTAAATGTGTGGTGTATCCACAAAAATTCAAGAAGAGTGGAATGTATTCACACCTGTGTAATTTACAAATATATCTCTCTGGTTATTTGTTATAACTTCAACTATTATCTCCTTCAAAACTGTGCTTAAAAATGCACCATGCAGATACCAGTTCATGCCATCACTCCCATTTCTCTTCCTTATGCCACCTGAAACAGGTTGCTAGCCCTATTCTAAAAGAGCAGGATCAGCCCTACATTTGAAAAAAAATTCAATTTTTGAGAGAAACTGTGATTGACAGGTGTACCTATACTTGTGAGTTTAATTTCTTACTAAAAAGGACACAATTCCAGCTATTTCAGATGAACAATACAGATAATTGAAAATGAAACAATAAATCCAAAAAGTCATCGATAAACATTATACACATGCCTACAGTTAATTAGCATCAAATACAATGAGTAAGGACAGCACTTGATGATAAGTAGATTTAATATTCAGCTATAATTTATCTAAAACTGCCATTTTGATGAAGATTGAGAGAACCAATGCTAAAAGTATTTAGATAAAAGCTGAGCTCTAAAGCAAAGTAAGCAGGGATGTCTCTGTTTTTCAAAGATACACAGTCTCTGAACAGGGTTCCATTTAACTTCAGATGAAGCCTCTTACCCTAAATAGTTTCCCAAATTCATCTTCCTCCTCTGTTAAAAAAAAACACAAAAAACAATCATGGCAGACTCTAGTAAAGGCATCCAACATTTTACTCTACAAAAGATGTCCTCACTTATCATAAATTCTATTTTGGATCCAGTCTATATTTGGGGGAACAGACTTGACCCTGTGAACGTTTGAGCTGAGCTCCAACCTCGATCTTTTCCTCTTCTGACCGATGTAGCCTAAAACTAGTGGAATTCCCCTTTTATAGGTGCCGTCCCTGTGCTCCCAGGTGTGTCCAATTTAGCACCTTCGTTGAAAGGTTGACTCCTGCGCCTTTGAAGGAGGTGATCGGCGTCAGGTTCTCCCGGCGGACTGTTGGTCATGGAGGGGGAGCTTTTCTTGGAAGGGCAACCCCCAGACTTTTCTGTCCTGCAGGAACTGCTCTGCCCTCCTTGCCTGGAGTCCGAGTCTAGTTGCAATTCGGGCTCCGTTTCAGGGGACTTTGGGTCAGAAACAACAGCGGCTAGAGAATTCGGGTGAGCCGCTCTGACTGACATCCTGAAAAGAAGGGGCTCCGGATCACTTCGCATCCGAAGATGATCCGGAAAAGCTCCCTCTGGCTGATTGCGCCCACTCAGCTGTGGGATCCGAATGAGCTTCTTGGACCTGAGAATCAAACCAGGGCTGAATCCCACGGAAGATAAGTTTAGGAGTAACCCTCACTAACACGCAATGGGACTTGCTTTAGTCGCAAATGCGCAAAGGCTCATTTATTTCACTTCTATTCATTATGTCGTTGGGATTTATTGCCGAGTAAGACGGTGGTCTGGGCTCGGTTTGTAGAGCGAAGCGGTCGCAGTGTTGTGTAGAGGGGGACTGCGTCTTCTCCGCACGCTCCAGCCATGTTAGCCTTTGGGTGGTGAGCCCCGCAAGCGGCGCGAGCCCGAGCCCGAGCA